CAAATGGAACACAAAAGAAAGGAGGAGTTGCGATCTTAATCTCAGACAAAATACCCTTTAGGCTATCAAAAATTAAAAAGATACAGAAGGCCACTACATAATGATAAAAGGTTCAATCCATCAACAAAAAATATCCATCCTACACATATATGCACCGAACATAGAGCACCGACTTTCATAAAGCAGCTCCTAGGTAAAAAATATATTGACTCCAATACCATCATAGCTGGGGACTTTAATACCCCACTCACAACCCTAGACAGATCATCAGTACAAAAAATCAGCATTGAGATCCGAAACCTCAATGTGACTCTTGATCAAATGGACTTAATTGATACCTACAGAACCCTCCATCCAAAGACCACAGAATACACATTCTACTCATCACCGCATGGAATGTACTTTAAGATCGACCACATACTTGGCCATAAATCAAGCATAAGCAAATTTAAAAGGACTGAAACTGTACCATGCACCTTTTCGGACCACAATGGAATAAAAATAATCATTAACACCAACGAGGTCCCCCCAAAACCCACAAAGACATGGACACTAAACAGCATGATGCTAAACAATTCCTGGGTCAATGATGAAATCAAAACAGAGATGAACAGCTACCTGGAAACAAATGAAAATGAAGAAACATCTTACCAAAATCTCTGGGATGCCATGAAAGCTGTAGTAAGAGGGGAATTTATATCCCTACAAACGCACTTGAAGAAAATGGAAGGATTACAAATTAACAGCCTAAGAAGCCACCTAATAATAAAAGCTGGAAAAGCAAGACCACAAAAACCCTAATTTCAGCATAAGAATCCAGATCACCAAAATAAAAGCCCAAATCCAGGACATAGAAGACAAAAAGATAATACAAAAAATCGATGAAACTAAAAGCTGGTTCTTCGAAAGGATAAACAAGATCGATGGTCCCCTAGCTAGACTGACCAAGAAAAAGAGATAAAAAGCCAAAATAAACACAATCAGAAACACAAAAGATGAAGTCACATCTGATCCTGAAGAAATACAAAGGATCATTAGAGACTACTATGTACATTTGTATGGAAACAAACTTGAAACCTTTCAGAAATGGAGGACTTTCTGTCATCACACAACCTGCCTAGGTTGAAACAAGAAGAAATTGAGACCCTAAATAGACCAATAACAATCAAGGAAATTGACTACGTAATAAGAAAACTACCTTCAAAAAAAAAGCCCTGGACCAGATGGCTTTCCAGCAGAATTCTACAAGACATTTAAGGAGGAGCTTATACCAATCCTATTGAAGGTATTCCAAGCAATTGAGAAAGACAGAACTCTCCCCAAATAATTTTATGAAGCTAACATCACATTGATACCTAAGCGAGGTAAAGACCCAACAAAGAAAGAGAACTACAGGTCAATATCTTTGATGACCATAGATGCTAAAACTCGCAACAAGATCCTAGCGAACCAGATTCAACAACACATCTCAAAAATCATCCATCATGACCAAGTAGGCTTCATCCCTGGGATGCAAGGCTGGTTCAACATTCGTAAAACCATAAATGTAATTAAATACCTCAACAGATGTCAAAACAAAAACCACATGCCTATATCATTAGATGCAGAAAAAGCTTTTGATAAAATCCAACACTCCTTCTTGATAAAAACCCTCTAATATCTAGGCATACGGGGAACATACCTCAAAATAGTAAAAGCCATCTACGAGAAACCCACAGCCAGTGTACTCCTAAGTGGACAAAAACTGGAGCCATTTCCCCTGAAAACGGGAACAAGACAAGGATGCCCACTCTCACCCCTCCTGTTCAATATAGTATTGGAAGTCCTGGCTAGAGCAATCAGAGAAGAGAAGGCAATCAGGCGTATTCAAATAGGAAAAGAGGAAGTCAAGCTATCTCTCTTTGCAGATGACATGATCATGTACCTTGAAAACCCAAGAGAATCTGTCAAAAACCTCGTTACACTGATAAAGGACTTTAGCAAAGTCTCAGGATATAAAATAAATGTGCAAAAGACAATCGCATTTCTTTTTTTTTTGAGTTGGAGTCTCACTCTGTCACCCAGACTGAAGTGCAGTGGCCGCTCCTGGCCACCACAGCCTTGACCTGCTGGGATTCAGTGATCCTTCCGCTTCAGTCTTCCAAGTAGCTGGAACTACAGGCGTGTGCTACCACGCCTGGCTAATTTTTTTTGATTTATTGTAGAGATGAGGTCTCACCAAGTT